TGACTGCGCAATTGTCAAAGTAACGCAGCGCCGTAACGCAAAAAATGGCCTGGTCAGAAAGGGGGGGGGGGGGGGGTAAATCCTCTAGAGGGCAAGTGATTAAGGAAATTTCCAAAATATAGCCAGTTGGGGGTACTTGAGGAATGAGGTTGGGAAACGCTGCTCTTAGCGATGTCTGCTGATAGACCTACAATTTGTACTCCATATTCATAATTGTACAATCAGTGTGATTTTGATACCTCATCACATGTTGTACTGTTTGATGGCACAGTCTTGACTTCATATACGTAACAAAAAAGGATAGATATTTAGGAGAAAACAAATATGGAAACATACATTCTAACAAAATAGGTCATTATAAAGCAAGAGCTGATTAGTAAGGAAACCATGACCAGTTCCAGTGGTCACTGGTACTAGCCTGCCCCCTACAGGCTTGCATGTGTTACTACTAACTCAATACTCATGGCAAGACTGCTTTGGGGGTCTGGGGTGCTCTGTAAGGAGTGTAAACCTACTTCCAGGCATCTGGATTTGGCAAAGTCAGTATGTCAGAAGGTGCAGAGAGTGCAGTTACTCCTGACCCCATGAGGTCTCATCCCATTTATATCTACTGACTTCTTTTCATTGCTGTTTTTTCTCGCATTGATTTTTCATTTTGTTTTCCTATGTTTGTTCCTATAGTTGACTCCTAATGGGTCAACTTTGGTCAAACGTTTTTCCTAATTGCCACCACGTTAGATGAAAGGAACAGGGAGTTCTTTTAATTGTGATAATAACAACCTATAAAAAAAAAAAAACAACCACCTTCACAAACAATGCACTTAGAACAAATATTATGTAAATAGCTGCTAATGATTACGATGTAGAAACACCGACTGGGTATCGTTTTTATTTGACATAATAACTATTTACTATTGATGTAACCCCAAGCGTTGCAATTTCGACCTACTGCTTCACACTCCAAGGCCTATAAGGCCCTTTTCACATGGGCCGGATCCGGGTTTCTCAGCAGAGGATCTGTCCGTTGCTCCCCTGCTGAGCTGAGCGGGCGGATGAAGGGTCCGCTCCACCTCCTGAAGAGCGTACATGGACACAGCCTGCTCTGCTCTATGGGCAGTTGTATGTAAATGGACTAGTTTGTTTACACCTGACTGCCCTCCGATCTGGCCAGATGGAGAGCAATGCACCCCCTTCTGTTTGTTTTTGTTGGATCCGATTGGAGGTAGGTGGGTGTAAGTGGACACAAATCCATTTACATCCACTGGTCCATAGAGGAGAATGGAAGGTCAGATTGGGTGTGCTGGGAAAAACGATCGTGTGAAATGGGCATGAGCCCAAGTGTAAGTTATCTTCTCATTCCTTTTTATCTCCTGCTCCAATTTCTTGTTGATGTGCTGACAATATGCTCCATGTGTACTCCTGTTTCTTCACTACACTTTTCTTTGAGAATTGAATGTAACAATCTGCTATAAATGACCTTTTGACTTCCATTTTTCCATGTTTATTTATTAGATACTTACATAGCACTGACAATTTACGCAGCACTTTACATATATATTGTACATTGACATCAGTCTGCCCTCAAGAAGGTTACAATCTAAGTTCCCTAACTCACATTCATACATACACATACTAGGGCCAGTTAACCCACCAGCATCTCTTTGGAGGGTGGGAGAAAACCCATGCAAGCACAAGGAGAACATGCAAACTCCAGGCAGGTAGTGCCGTGGTTGGAATTCAAACCCACAACCCTAGTATTGCCAGGTGGAAGTGCTAACCACTTAGCCACTGTTCCATTTCTGTCCTCTGGATATGGAAATAGCATTGCAATCCAAACCGCAATCTTACAGTCTAATTGGGATCCGAATGTTAGGAACATTATGCTTTAACCACTTGTCTACCAGGCACTTTTACCCCCTTCGTGCCCAGCCCAATTTTCAGCTTTCAGCACTGTTGCACTTTGAATAACAATTGCGCAGTCATGCAACACTGTACCCATTTTTATCATTTTTTGCACAAATAGAGCTTTCTTTTGGTGGTATTTTATTGCCACTGGGTGTTTATTTTTTGCACTATAAAAAAATTAGAAAAGTTTTTCTTTGTTTCTATTCTAAAATTTAGCAAACAGGTAATTTTTCTCCTTCACTGATGTGCGTTGATGAGGAAGCACAGATAGGCAGCACTGATGGGCATTGATAAGGAGGCAGTGATGATGCTGCACTGATGTGTAGCAATGATGGGAGGCACTGCTGGACACTGAATGGTGGCAGTGCTAGGCACTGATCATCAGTGCCAATCTGCTCTGTGACATTTGCTGGTCATCGACTGTCCTCACACCGTGACAACATGAGGAAAGTGCTGCCGATAACCGGCAACTGTATTTACTCGGTGATCTGCTGTCATTGGATACAGCTGATCACATGCTGAAAGACTGCTGTGGTTGGCTTGTTACCTCATCACATGGTCAGCTGTATCCGTAGGACACAGTGATCACGGAGAGCGCCAAGTGCGGGTGGGAGGATGTAATATGACGCCCTCCCAGAACTGGACAACCGTACTATAGCAGCCATTGGGCTATAGAACGGTTGTGAAGTGGTTAAAGTGGAACTTCACTCTCTCAATCCATATGTTGCAAGAATTACTAAGTAGATTGGAAAGTATATCATATTTATTTGTTTTAAACTTCAGTTACTTCCTGGTTTCCAGGCTTAGGCAAATGAAGTCCTACATCCCAAGAGTCTTAAAGTAGGGAGGGAATTTCTGAGCGAAGCACACCCTCCTCCCGTATGCCTGAGCTAAGGGCAGATGGACTCCAGGAAGTAAATGCTACATGAATCATCTGCCTTTTTACTCAAGATGGCAATGGCCAGAAATTATAGGGGAGTACTTTCCAAAGTACTTTGTCAGCAACATAAAGCATGGAGACCTAGATGGATGGGGGAGTTTGCTTTGAATAATTAAAAATAAATCCAGTTTTTGGTTTGTGGCACTCGGATGCAGTGCAGTTCCACTTTAAAGTCCTTCAGGACATGGACTGATATGAGTGATTGTATGTATTCTTTACAGCATAATATGGAGGTGCTACATAAATACAGGAAATAAATCTGTAATTGATATGTATTTTAAATACCATTAGGTTTGTGAATTTGATGGCCAACATACTTATTTTGAGCTGGCCCTTTATATAATGCCTCCCCCCAATGAAGGAGTTCTATAAAAGACACCTACGATCACTGCTAATATCAGCAGTCATGGAGTTAAGACGCTTTATTGAGGAAGCATACAAGTACTGCACATTCAGAGGCAGTACTAAAACTCATCAGCTCCTCCGTTTTGTTAGCGTGGGAGTATCTGCTGCAAGCAGAAGAGGATGGAAATAAAAATAGACATGTCTTCCATTTTCAGGGCTTCATCTGAATTTTGTACAGTTGAGTTGCCAGCATAGTTGCTGCAGAAATCAAGCATATAACATTTCCAGCTTCTCTAGACTGCATTGCACAGATGTATGCCTGCTACCCATAGGATTTGTTCTACCTACTAGATAGTCTCTCTTTACAGTTCACTTGTGATGTTTTTGCTAATATGCATGAGCACAGTTTTTTAACCCCTACTCGGCAAAAGCTGGAGAAAGCCACGGTTTGATGTCTGCAAGCGTATTTAAAAAAAGCAAAGACTGACCATAACATGTGTTTTGGGACACTGGTAATGTAGAAAACTGAAAGGAATTTGTCTATAGCAACCAGAATGCTGCATTCGTTTTTTTCTAGTGAAAGTTACAAAACAATGGAAAGATGTGATTACCGTCAACGATGACACCTTCACATTTTTTTTACTTCAGTCTCTTTTTACACAGGAGTACAACTTGGTTACTTAGTTACATTGGTAAGGTTGAATAAAGACACAAGTCTATGCAGTTCAACCCTAATCTAAACCAAGCCATAGATTATTCCATTTTCTTTCCTTCAATCACAGGTTGAAGGAAAGAAAATTTCTCAATTACCCCATCAACAGTTATGTTATTGTAGCTATTGTATTCTTACAACAGGAGGTTTTCCCACTGTTGGACTATAGCCGTCAGCAGCGATCGCACGGGAAAAAAAAAAAATTTGATAGGCTGGTTGTACAGATGTTAGGGTTGCACCGATAACGTTTTTTTTTTTTTTTTTTTTTTTTTTTTGTTTCTTTTAATCTATCGGTGAGTACGAGTACCGATATTTGTACCGGTTGAATTTTGATACATCTATGGGTAAGCTGGTTGATGTTGCTGGATAGATCCACTTCAGTACAGTAAGGGTTGCACCAGTGCTGATACCAAGCATTTGCATGAGTAAGTGTGCAAATACTCCAATACCTAAAACTTATACCTTTTGTGGTGCGATTTGGGCCCATACAAAATGAATAGGCTTTAATCGCACTGCAAAGAATAATACGATTTGAACATGAGTGCACTGTGAGTCCTGTTCCAATCACATGCGGTTTCCCTGCGGGTATGGTGCAATTTGAACCATTCATTTTGTATGGGCTCAAATTGCACCGTAAAGGTATCAGCGTTAGATATTGGAGCATTCACATGAGTACAAATACTCATGCAAATGGTTGGTTTCGGCACCGGTGCAACCCTAACTGATATTGCTTGATAGATCCACTTCAGTACAACCAGCTTGCCCATAGATGTATCAAAATTCGGCCGGTTCCTGCTGGACCAGCTGAATTTCAGTCTGTCTGTTGCTGGCCATCATCTGCCAATTGCACATTGATAGTTGACTCCAGCCCTGCTCACTCACTGCAAATACACTGGGATATATTCAATACATTTTTGTTTTGATTTCATGTATCAAAAGTGCTTTAGCAATAAAAAAGATGTGAATGCACCAAACTGGTTTGTTTACCTGTTGTTGGCTATCTCGCTTAATAACATTTTTTTTTTTGCTACACTAGGTCAGATGACTCCTTTATCCAGAGAAAGTCCAAGTCCTGTGGACCCAGAATCTGTGGAAGTAATGATGAACTTTGACCCAGATCCTGCTGACCTTGCCTTGTCCAGTGTACCAGGACATGAGACCTTTGACCCTAGGAAACATCGGTTTTCTGAAGAGGAACTAAAACCTCAACCTATTATGAAAAAAGCTAGAAAAATTCAGGTTCCAGAAGAACAAAAGGTACAAACTAAGAAAACACCAACCATTTTGTTATGGATGTCACAGCATAACCTTGAAAGCCAATTAAAATAAGTAGCACTTGGGGGACTCCATTTTATGTAGGCCACAGCCTCCATGGTTAAGCACTGGTGCTTACCCTTTTCCCCTTTTTAAGCCACCAAATGTGATAGGTAAGGGATAGAAGCAGGGCCTATGCTTGACTTTGGAAGCTGGGATTGATATTTGCATAATTGGGTACCCACTTTTAAAGTCATGCATACTGTGGTTTGATTTTGGTTTCCCTCATGCACACCTGCCATTAAGCCTTGTACACTCGAACCAAAAATTGGGCAAAATTGGTCAGTTCTACAGGAACCAGAAGACTTTCGGCGTAGACAACTGTCTGCTCTACAAAGAAAAACATGTAGTACCCCTTAGTATCCTTATTAAAATATGTAAAATACACATTTCTATGACTTCTATACATATTTTTATGTGTTGAATACTAAAATCCAAGCACGAGAAGCATGTGTTTTCTTGCTTGAAGTTGTGTATTTCTTCCATATCTGTGCCGTAACCAAACATGAAACAACTCATGTTCTTAGCCTCTGTGCAGGAGATTCTTTTAAGACTGGTCCCCATGACTGTGTCTCCTTGTGCAAGGTGACTGGCCTTGTATTCTCCTTCCCCCTTCCCGTAGTAGGCAATCTGTAATGGGCAGATCTGCTGGGTCCCACCCCCAGCTCTCCTCCCCATACAGCCTACGGTAATGTTGTCACTGCTGTTTTCACAGGGTAATATCTGGATATGCAAACATATCTGGTACACACAAAATGGGTTTATATCTTATGTAGCTATTGAAGAACATATTCAAATTAAGCATTTCTCCCTATTTCAACTTCAAGTATGATTTATCAACCAGATTATTGCAGAGTTTGATTGTACTGTCTCTCTTTTTTTTTTTTTTTTTTCAATAATCTGCAGGATGAGAAATACTGGAATCGGCGGTACAAAAACAATGAAGCAGCCAAACGTTCTCGAGATGCTCGCCGGCTGAAGGAAAACCAGATCACGGTGCGGGCAGCCTTTCTGGAGAAAGAGAATTCAGTGTTGCGTCAGGAGGTTGCCAAAATCCGTCAAGAACTCTCTCGCTACCGAAACATCTTGTCAAAATATGAGTCACAGCACGGAGCCTTGTAAAGAACAGAGAAATTGTGTGGCTTTCCCACGTGGTTGCACGAGCTAACACAACTTCACAAGAATCTTCCCCACCAACCTTTTTGTGGTTTCCCCCAAAAACGGCCCTTATTCACTGATAAGTCTCACAAAATGTAGAGATCATGAGGGACCTCTGGAAAGCAGGCCATTGTACATTTTTTTTTTTCTTGCTTGCTTTCTTCCTCCGTAACTCAGCATTCCACAAGGGATTCCTTTTCTGGTTGACAAGGGTGCTACTTTTGACTAATACAAAACACGAGGCATCATCATTGACTGGGAAAAACGGAAGAGAGGAAAAGGAAGCCAAAGCTATGTCTATCATATGAACACGGGCACTATCCAATACACCAGCTAACACATAGAAGCTAAATACCTGGTATATGATATTCCTCTTTGCACACTCTTCAGTAGCATTGCGTTTCTTTTGATTACTTTTCTGTCCATCAGAAAGTGGGTTGATGGATAACAATATGGTGTATAAAAGTGTAAAAAAAAAAAAAAAAAGTGTATATATTCCAAAGGCATATGCTGATATGTAAAAATGACTGCAATTAAACAAGCAGGTAAGGGGGTTGAACAAACATTGTGAACGAAATTGTGTTAGGACTGCAGGGTTTTGTTACTATAGTATTTAATTTAAGATAAGGATGGGCAGCGTCTCAGTCAGAACTTGATGGAAAAAGCAGCCATGGCATATAAAATTTCATAAGTCCATATTTGTAAAATATATGTGACCAGGTTTTACGTTTTATAGCTTGACAATTTTACAGAATATATCCTGGAGATTTTTCTATGTCCGACAAAAAGGCCAGGAAGAGTCTGAGCAACCTCACTGGATCATGCAAGAATTGATGATACTCTAAGCCTGACTGTTATTTTACACTGCATGTCTTGTTCTACATATCTAGGCAAAGACCAATATTGTGACAGCACTATAACCACCTGCTTTTTCACCACACTCCTCTGTTCTAAGAAATGTTTGAAAGTTGTGATATGCTTCTATTACCTTTCCTGTGGAAGGGTGGTGACTGTCCGAGACACTGCTACTAGCAGAACTGGTAAATCCCAGGTGCTAGGTAGCCAATGTGCCTGAAAAAATTCTGCCAGTGCCTAAAATTGTCAATGAAATAATCATGTTTCCTGGCAGCTAGATTTGTTTGGCTGGCTCCTGGATTCTACTTTAATTTGTCCACCCACTGTTTTGGTCACCGACAGTCACAGAGGTTGTCATACAATTTTTGCGGGGAGGACACTGTGGACGTGCAGTTATTTGTGCATTTGCTTAGAACGTTGGTGATCTGAGCTGTGTAGGAGCCTGCAAGAGAGTCAGGAACCTAATGTATGCTACTGTCAAGATGGTACCACCTAAGATAAAGTAATCTTACTATCCTACTAGTAAAACTGCCTTGAGCTCCATTTTCTGCTTCAACTAAGAACATCATCATGAGATGTAGAATTTGAGACCATCTAGACTGCTAATAGCTGCTCATCCTTTCTTAATGTCATTGTTATCAAGAAAAATAAGCACCCTCCTCCTGTGAAGGGTCAACATCATTACTTAAATGTATTCTTCTAGAACACGTCTTGTATTCAGTGGCTTTGGTTATACATCCAGATCTATGTATTCCATGACCGAGCCACAATGGCTCCATACAGAATGAAAATGTCTGTACCACTAGTTCATACCACATGAATTTCTACATTCTAGGAAATTCACAGTTTAACATTACTGTAGTAAATGTTTGTGTGGGTTTTAGGGCATTGCACATGAGCAGCCTTTTTGAAATCCACTACACTAGCAGATTGCCCAGATTTTTATTTAAGTATTTTTTTAATAAAATGGTGTACACCATTTCCCCATCTTCCCAACAGCATGACTCATTAGACACATGGGCTGGTATCCTTGTCTGAAAAAGCCAGTGAGCATGCAGTCTTCTGCTTTGTTGACACAAATCATATGTGTTGTTGCCATTAGGCCAAGTTTTGAAGAAAATAGGGCCCAAAAAGACATCATGGTCCCTCTCGAAATATTGTCTTTATGCAGAGAACATGACCCTTATGATTTGGTGGTGCCCACAACAATTTCAGGGGTGTTATTTTCAACTTGACCAACCCATTAAGGAACAGGTATATTAGGTAATACCTGTGATGGTATACTGGTAAAGAGTTCCTCTAGACCATTTTTTCTCAAAAAATGAAATTTATAAAACAGAAAGTTTTAAAGAAAAATGCAAGGAAGAATTTTCCCCACCTTTTTCTGTTTGCTTTTGTTTAGGGATTTTCTTTCTTCCTCTACATGGTCTTTTTATCCAGGGTTAAATTTGGGGGGAGGCAAATTTTACCTTCTCTCCTGTGCCTTCCAGCCATATGTCATTTCCACTGGCCATTTATCTAGGCACATTTCGATGTTTGTTTGCATGAACGTGAGGTATGGTGACTTACTGGTTCTGATTTGTATGTATGAGCAGATTTCTTTAGACACATTAATGTGTTCATGACTTAAAAGTGTAAGCAGCCATAATAGGAACTGTACAGCATCCAAAGCCTGTGTAAACCCTTTCCTGGGACCCATAGCTGCTGCATGCAGCAGTTCATAGACAACAGTTGGAAGATGCATGCAACATGGGTTGTGTAAAGTATCTGCACGTGCATGGTCCTATGCTCAGAATGCAGATAGTGTGAATTTGGAGTGTACAACTTTCCGGGCGCCTTACCCTGGGGGGGGCCCCCATGGTATACCCACATACCCCTGCATCTTCTGATTTGTGGTTACGCAGACTCTTGATGCTGTATGGCCCGCTTACAGCCATATGCTGAGCCCCTATGCTAACATGAAAAAATTATATTTGTATTTTCTAAAATGTCTTCTCTTGTTAAGTAAACCAGAGAAACACAACACTCAGATTATAACAGGAGTCCTACAAACCGTTTGTTAGGTGGAATTGTCACAGAAAGCCGTCATTCCAATAATTTACCAGCTAGATGTGACAATAAATTTGAACAACGGAAGACAGGCCATTAAATCATCCTAGCATAAAAATGTTTTGGGATTTTTAAATGAGACAACCAGACACTTTTTTTTTATTAAGACTGCACAGAGTACAAGGACAGAGCAAAGTGCAGGAAACCATCTGAATTCATTTTTAGCTGATGTATAACAATGTAAACTACAGTCATTTAAAAGGCATTTGCAACAGGTTATTGTACTTTCCTAATAAGCTGTCGTTTTGTAGTGTGAAATATGTGTATTTTGTTTTATATAACATCAGCATAATATCCCTAAATGATAGCTTTATCAGCCAGATGTATCAGGGCTACATAGTGAAGTACCCACTACAACCAGTCCGAAGTCATCCTGTGCTGGTCTCTGGTTGTTGTGCGTTACTGCACTTTGCTGTTTGCACTCTTTTATTGGATACAACCAATATTGTCCATGAGGTTGGTGGGATATTACTGGTTTTAAAATTCTTTATAGGGTTTACAAAACTGTAAATTATAATTGATGATCCTTAAGCTAGTACTAAGATACCAAAGGGTGGTTGGACATGCAGGCAATATCTGACCGGCCTTTTCTAATTACATTGCAGAACTGTTTGTGTTTAGTCTGCGGAGCAGGATGGGAAAAATACATTTATCAAGTAGAAATAATCGTAATCAAATGAAATTTTCTAAACTGAGAATCCTTGACCTTGAGAGATGGCCAGCTAATGTCTATGGGCACCTTAAGGCTACATGCACACTAGTGTTTTTTTAAGCTCCTAGAAGCTAAATGGTTATCCTTTGTGTCCATTCACACTATTTTAGGCTAGTGGCATTTTTCTAGCTTCATAGTTTAGGAGCAGGGGAAAAAAATGTTATTTGTAGCATTTTTGGGAGTATTTCTTTGGCAGAAAAAATGCTGAACGCTCCTATACGTTACTAAAATGCACCTAACAGCTTTTTGTCTAGCGTTTTCCCCCCCTATCTGTACTATAAAAATGCTAATAAAACGCTAGACGCTCCAAATGCTACTAAAAGCGCTATTAGCATTTTTCCAGAGTTTTTGGAGCTTTAAAAGAAAAAAATGTTAGTGTGCATGAAGCCGAAGGGTTTATGTCGATGGGCTTTTTTTTTTTTTTTTTTTTTCCATATGCTGTATTTGTTATTTGACCGAAAATCAAAACTGTTTGACGAGATAAGGCTGCATTTGTCCTGCTTTTCTACAGTGCAACTACAAATCAATACGCAGTGCGCACTGTTTCCAGAGAAAGATCGCATAATGCAAAGCAGGTCAAATGCAGCCTCTGCACTGCCATGTGTACTGCTCAGTTGAAGTCAATGGGATTTTGATAACCTGCGTTTAATGTTCATTCCAAGAAAGCAATGCACATCTACTTAAGCCCTTGATCTGCTTCTATTCTGTTTGGAATAGCGTTGTGAAAGCCAGTTATACATTGTAATTGAGCTGAAGATTATCAAATATGTAATGTAGATTTGGTGGATGACTCTTCCATAGGAGAGCCACTTTGGGTGGGCTTTGTTCAAACATAACTCCATTTATGAACACTGTGCTCCTGCAGTGAAAGTTATTCATACTGGCCAGCAGATCCCAGATGTATGAGCTTAGTAGGAAATGGAGGAGAGCATATTTCCAATTCTTAGACCAATGTGTACTCGCCCCGAACTCTACTCTACTCACACCTCAATGCATGTCACTACTGCATCAATCACGCTACGGTGTTAGCGCTGTGCTGTTGCTTTGCATTGAACAACGCTCTATAAATACTACCATACTAACTACTTGAATCTTTTTCTATATTAATGGACAAGCACATGATCCGTACTTGTTTTTGTAGCACAAAAGGCTAAAGTCTAGCATTCAAATATAGATGTTGGTGCATTTTTATAAAGTGAAAATGTGTTCACAGTAACTAAGAACAGAATTGGGAAGACCAAGACACTGAATGGAGTTTTTGACTGGCTAGCATATATTATTCTTTTGT